GACAACCTTCATTCCCCTGTTTGACAGGAATGATTTTATTAAGTCCTGTAATGCTGTATCCATGAAGCTTACAAAGAAGGCCAGCGTACCAGACCCTATCAAATGCTTTAGAGATATCTAAAGCTATGGCTCAAGCTTCTCCATTATTGTCAAGTGCTGGGTATATAAATTAAGTTATGGTTGTGAGCACTTCAGTGGTGGACCGGGCAAAGCAGGAACCATATTGCTTGTCTGAGAGCAGATCATGAGATTAAAGCCTCAAAGAGTGGTAGGAGACTTATAAGATGGTAGTTAGATGGGTCAGAAGGGTCCCTGGAGTTCTTAAGGACAACATATGAGGACAGGCAAGCAAGAGTTAGTGAGGCAATAGTTTGGAGAGGACTGGTGCCAGTTCAGCAGCACATTTCTTCAGGACAACAGCTGGTATCCTGTCCCCTCTACTAGCTTTATGGGAGTCTAATTTGGAGATGATATCCAAAATGGGGTTTTGGATGGGGTTATGTTTATTTCACTCAACAGAGCCTCAGTTCTAGGGGGAAAATCAATTGTGGGTACTCCGGATGAGTCGGTGTTGAATTCGACAATTTCTGCGCGAAGCATTCAGCCTTATCAGAGAAGGAAGTCAGTGCATCAAATTGATTGAATAACAGAAGTATTGTATCTCAATTGCTCCTCCATCTCCAATAAATCCCTGAAATCCTCATTTCACTGATATCAGCATTTTTTTTTTTTTCTTTTTTTAATAAATGATGTTCTCTATGTGAAAGCCCCAGAAGCCACTAGTGGTGGAGGATTACAGAGGAAGTGGCAAATTTTATAATTTATATGGATATGTTGGGTAGATAACACTTACAAGATAGACAGGTTAAAATTGTAGTGATCGGAGAACCATCCTCTTGGGAGTCAGTTCCATAGGGCAGCGGTTCATAGGGGAAAAAGATGCTCAAGTGGAACTGGCATCTTACCAATGGAATATGAAGGAATAAGGATGGTTCACTACAATGTATGTGGCATGGCAGGTCTTAGCCATGAAGGTAAGGACTGGTGAAACTAAGGAATGTAGTACATTGGGACACATTCCATGGCGGGGCATCAGAATATGCCAACTAAAGTAAAAGTCTCTCAATGGGACCACCTGTTGGCTGTGGGTGGCGACCCATGATGCCTGGGGATGGGATCCTGGTGGTTGAGCAGCTATAAAGTGGTCCCGACCCTGCAACACACCACTTCGGCCCTTAGATAGGCGGTCGGAGAGGCCCGAGCCGATCAGTCGGCTGGTCATGTCATGCTTCATCACATCTAACCCATCCCAAAACAATTACAACTTACAATTAACTTTCCCAGTCCCAAACCCTATACTAACACCTTACCCCTAAAATGTGATGGAAAGCAGTGGCTTAGGATCAATCAGTGTAGGAACAAAAGATCTCCGACATGGCTGTATACTACCTGAAGTGACTCTGGACTTGGTCAGTGAAACTAAAGACATACGGGTGCTCGAGACCTTTCCCATATATGAGTATACTATCCATGTAGCCCTATAGGGCTAGAGCGAAAGGGTTTTCCCCCTGGCTGCTACCCAACACTGGACTCCGAGGTTGGTGGGGAGCATGGATAATGAAGAAAATTAAAACAATAAATGGCTACCAAAAAAAAACTCCAAGAGACTACATAAGGATTTAGACTCCAAGGATGAAAACTATTATAAGGAAACATTTCCCCGATTTATTGTATTAGGGAAGTTTTCTCAATTGATTCTAAGTACACTGTCACCTTTCCTGATTCAAAAAGTAATAACTCAAAACATCACTGCCAAAACGGTTAAAAAACTGAGAAATGGAACATTATTTGTTGAAATAGAAAACCAAAAATATGCAAATTCTCTACTAAAAATGAATTGGTTTCATAACCTGAAAGTTAAAGCCTACCCTCATGAAAGGTTAAATTTTTCTAAAGGTGTGATACGCAGTAGAGAATTAACTTCAATAGAAGAAATAAAAAAAAGAATTAAAAAACCAGGGAGTAACAGAAGTGAAGAGAATCACAACTAAAATTGAAGGAAAAATAAACAAATATCTACATCATGACCTTCAATACACCCACCACACCAAAGGAACTAAAAATTGGCTATGATATAGAAAAAAAATAGAGTAGTACATCCCGAACCCCTTGAAATGTTTTAAATGCCAAAGATATGGGCACCACCAGGACCGTTGTACACGTCTACCGGTATGTGGGAGATGTGGAGAACAAGACATACATATAGACTGCCAAAAAAACTAAGTGCATCAATTGCCAGGGAAACCACCATGCCAATTCCAGAAACTCTGAAACATGGAAGAAAGAAAAAGAAATTTTTCGTTTGAAATATACAAAAAATGTAACCAACATGGAGGCAAGACAAATGGTAGAAACCACAAAATATGCAGAAGTAGCAAAAAAAAAAAAATACCCTCGAAAATAATAAACGAAGCTGTGAAAAGAACATTAAAATGGAAGACATCACAAAATTACTCAGAGATGAGGGAACTGATGAAAGAATTAAAAAAACATAAATAAAACAAAACCTGAAACCAACCGACAAATATCTGAAAAAAGCTCAGCTGCTTCAAAACCCCAAACACAACCCCCAAAATGCAAACCCTTCAGAAACAACTACACAAAAAAAACGATCGGAAAAACTTCAAATCCAGCTCATGAAGAAAAAGAAAAAAAAATTCCCTCCAGACAAACCGAAACAAAAACCCAAGATGGATAGATCACGCTTTACTTCAAAAACAAGAAATTCAACTGAAAACAGATTTGAATCTCTGGAAACAATGGATACAGATGACTGGGCATTGAAGGACAAATCACCAAAACTCTACAAATATGGCAAACAAAATAATCCAATGGAACATAAGATGTATAAAAGCTAACTTGGATGAACTAATATTCCTCATTTCAAATCAACTCCCTGAAAAAGTACTACAATACAAAAACAATGAAAGAACTATTTAAACACCAAGATAGATCATTTAATGGCATATTTAAAGAAAATAGGACTATACAACAAAATCTAATTAAAATAAAAATGTGTACAACCAATCTAATGCATAAAACCATTCTAACATGTGCACAAACTTCAAAACAAATAAACTACATTAAAAAAGTGTAATCCCAAAATTCAAAAACTGACTCTTAAATGACCATAATGGTTGAGGGGTCGTTAAACCTAAACCAAACCAAACCATGGAAATGGTGATAATAGCAAGAGGCTTGCGACAATTGTAAGAAATGGTTTGTAAAGTGGAAAATAACTTGTCACCCACAAGGACATTGATGCCTTTGGACTCTGAGACCGGAAAGTGAAAAGTGGGCAGCCACTGCCCATATATGGCAGCGGCAGTACTCCTTTTTTGGTTCTTATTAAGGTAGAACATAGCAGACAGGACAGGGAGTGGTACAGAGAACCAACCATTTTTTCCTGCAATTTTAGAGATGGCTCATGTGTATGAGTTCCACTTGAGGTCTGGATTGAGTTTAATTCCCAATAGGCACAAGGTCTTCCTGAAGGAACATCCATTCATTGCGATTAGTGAGAATTCTGGATTCAATTGGCAAGGATGGAATGTCACTAGTTTGGTTTTCGAAGCATTGAATGTAACCAGCCAGTTTTTCTCTCACTGAATTGTTAGAGCTAGCTCAGAGGAGAGATCAACTGTCAAGCTCTGGTCATCTGGGGAACACTGGTGTTTATTGCAAGTCCTCAGATGACTGGCTGTTAATGACTAATTTCTGGGATCTGTCAGGAAGAACTTTATAATTGAGAAGACTCTTCCAATGATTCTATAGCTAGAGTGTTTGTGCATTAATTCTTCATGCCACATCTTGTCAAAAGGCCATTGAAATATTTAATGTGATTGTCTTTGAGATGTATTTTAGTTCTTCACTGATTCTCTGAGTAATGGTAGTTAGGATATCAGCAGTGGACCGGAATGATTGAAACCAGTCTTCTTGCTTGTACTGCAAAAATATAAAAGGTGATTTTAAAACTCCTTAAAATTTCATGAAAATATTGGTCATGAAAATGCTTCCCTGTGGACCACATGTTTGAGACCCCTGCCCTATACCTACCTATCCATTATGAGATAGTCAAATAGAAAATACCATCACACTTTGTATAGGAATATTTCTCTTGTCATTTTTAAAACTGTTATTCATACTACAAATAATTTGATATTGCCAATTGTTAAGATAAATATTGGTATCATGAAAAAGAAGCAAAATTAGAGGTGTGCACAGCTACAAAAAAAATTGACGTTTCATAGGTCAATTTTGGTTGTAAAATGACTACTCATTACAAACATGACAATTTGATATGTACATTCAATGATTGTGACCCCATAAGGATGTCAAATACAATCATGTGTACTTAACAATACTTACAAATGTAAAATAAGAATTATTATAAAACTAAATCGGAATAATATTCTATATTTAAAACCATTTTATTCTAATAAGAGTAGGAAATGATGGCTGTAATGAAATTGGAGAGGTACAATTTAGTTTGATTACAAACAAGGGGTGCAAAATATTTTCCATCACAATTTTAGGTGTGCCTATTATGGATGAAGGCATATTATACATTTGTATAGGTTCTTGATTTTACAAAAATGTACTTCTTTTGTTAAATGTAATACCATTAAAATTTTTATTTTTTACTCAATCTTTACTGTTTGTCTCATTAGCCAATACATTCACAATAATATAAAACCAATTTTTGTTTCTTGTAAAAAAAAAAAAAAAAAAAAAGTATTTTTGCCAGTACTTGTAAAATGTTACCTGCTATACTTGAATGTTACATGAAATATTTAACAAAAAAAAAACTTCAGTATTATATTTAACTTTATTCAATTATTTAATAGTGCATATATGGATACTGATTTCAATTTTTAAAATCTCCAGAAAAAGGTTTACAATCATTTTATACTAGTAAAATGAACAATTTTTTATTATAGGGAGAGAGTGGCCTGATTTCTGAAGAATATGAAGTAAAGCACACAATTCTTCGACAACCTTTCCAGTGGCAACCCAATGCACCTGAAGTGGAAAATGGGACCAAAATATACAAATGCAGAAATTCCATTCAGGGTATAAAACTCATTGCAGATGACAGAGGTCAGTCTGGTTTAAAAAAAATGTATTTAGATTAATTCCAAAACTTTCTTTTTTTTCCTCTCTTCTTTAATCTATTTCTTTTTTTTTTTTTTTTTTCCTTCCTGTTGTGTTATTATAAGAGAAAGTTTTGATATTAAGTACTGGCTCTGACTTGGGTAAGATAGGAAATTTGATCAATTACCTTGTCAATCCAAGTCCTAATATTTTTTTGGCCCTGTCACATCTAAATGTGGCACGAGGCTGAATGTATGGGACACCTATTAGGGATTGTTATTCAGTCGTAATTGATCTAGCAAAACAAGCTTGCTAACCATTACATCACGTTGAAGTGCCCAAGCACTTTATATAGCACACATGTATCTCAAACCCAATCAAAGATGCTATCAGTTTCAATACCAAACCTTTAAAAAAAAAAAAAATTCTTTTTTAAAAAAGTCACAAGTTTAGATCAATTGATGGTCAAACTTATCAACTGTCAATGGAACATTTACCATGGCATTGTTGTGGCAAGAGTTTTTCTCTCCTTGCTAGAAAAGAAATGTTTTAAAGAAGTCATTTTCAGCTGTTGAAGCTAATTAAATTTTATAAATAGTACTAGTATTTTTATATTTGAATTATTTTTAAATTAAGAATTTATATTTTGAATTGCATAAAACATTAAGAAAATTTATGGGCATATTCTTAATGGTAATTAATATAGAGACATTAATGTCAAAACATGCTTAGGTCTAGATGAAAAAAAAATTAAAATTAAAAAAAAAATCAGATAAAAAATAAAGACAAGCAATTAATAACCCAACAAAGGTTGACATGTAAAATCAAATCAGCAGTATTTAATAATAGTTGGTATTTGGAATTCAATAGGAACTGACTTGTTTTTTTTAAGTTCTAAATATTCAGCAATTTTTATTTTGTTCTAATGGATGAAACTGAAATAATAATCAGTTTAAAATTCAAGCTTATAAATCCTAATTTATAAACATTATGAAAGTGTTTTACATTTGTTTATATTTATTTTCTGATGATTGAAATGTAATCTTTTTAATTGTTATAAAAATTTAAATTAATTTTTGCCTTAGTGTTATTATGAGGCATTTTATTATTTTTGTTACACACACACACACACACACACACACACACTAAAATGTATTGTTACAAATGAAACACCTTGCTAAAAGAATGAGATAGAAACATTACTTATTAATGGGACTTGGAAAAACCTTCAATATTGGCTACTGTGCAGTTTATGGAGGATAAAACCATCCCGGGTTTGAAAGCTATATTACTGTACTAATCATCAGTGGATGCTTCTAAATGATAGCCTATTTCCTCTAACACCTATCATTAACCAAAAGAAAGAGGTGGGGAAAGAAGAGTCTAAATGGACTAGAGAGGATTATAAGGAAGTACTATGCTGAACACAAAAGATTGTGTTAATGACTACTTAGGTTATTGAAAAAAAATATTTTAAGAAATGCCATTTTTACTTTTGGTCTTAGGTGAAAAATTTGCTAAATGATTACATCAAACATGAAATCAAAATAGTCACCACTATCACCATGGTATACTGGCAACTTATCTCTAACTATAGTACACCTCAATTGCATCTATATGTAAAACTAAGTAAAGTTTAGTAAAAATCAATACCTTGTCTAATTATCTTTTTGTATAAACACAAACCATGTTATATAGAGATGCCATACATTTTATAGAAGTTATTTCCCCAAGTAAATATTTTCAGGAGAAAATTTCTCGTTTCATCTAAAATGAGAATAAGAATTTATAACCAAATTTCACGTTTGGGATTAATGTGTGCAAAACTATAAAAAAAAAAATTTTTATATCAATTATTCTACCTTTTTTCTAGGTTATGTGTGTGAGCGCACAGTAGTTCTTCCTGGAGGATGCTGTGACTCGAATGCAGCTCAAACAGCACGTTACAGCTGTTATTCTTGTCAGGAAAACCATTGCTGTGAGATATACGAATACTGTGTATCTTGCTGTTTACAACCTGGGAAGGTGAGTTTGCATTTTTGCTTCTCCATTTCATAGCAGCCATTGTTCAAAACTTCAAGTCTTTTATCTTTCTGTATTTTAACTTTTGAATGGATAATCCACTATTTAAAGTTGTATGTTTTAACAAAATGTGAATAGTTGTAATCTAAAATTGCAAAGATGCATTGGAATTTCTATTTGTGTATCTCTAAATGTGTTGCTGGGCATAGTGTTTCAATCTTAAAAGCATTGAATCATATACAACCAAATACTTTCCTCTCATTTTACATATTGTATCTAAAGATAACCTTTTAGGTACTTATTAAAGCAGAATAATTTGATAGTGCCATCATTTCCTGTTTCAAATTTTTATTCAGTATACTAGTGTGTTAAAAACAATGTTTGGACTTAATACTACAACCATCTCCATTTTCCCAAATGGAGCTGACAAAGATGTTTCACCAAGATATTTCAAAGATTTTACATATTACGTTTATATACATTTCTGATTATTGGTCTACAGTGGCAGTATGCCAAGAGAAATCTATTTTACTTATTTATTTATCTTTTTTTTTTTTTTTTTTTTTTTTTTTTTTTGTAACCAATACTAAAAAAAATTCTTAAGCAGCCTGGTGACACCTACAGTAAACTCTTTTCTTCTTTACGGGACCATTATGAACTTTGCTTGGTTAAATGTAGGACATCATCACAGGTGAGACAAGCTAATTCCAACATATTTTAAAGCAATCTTTTTATGTTCATTGTTTAGTAGCCAAATGAACTAAAACCTTTCATGTGAATTAATACAATTTTCATTTGATTCATTTTCCTTTTTAAATTTTATCTTCAGTTTTATCAAATTTATGGTTCTATTACACTTTTGTACACCCGGCTATAAAAATGTGCGGAATTTTTCCTCTTTTTTTTTTTTCCTCTCTTTTTTTTTTTTTTTTTTTTTTTTTTTTTTTTTTTTTTTTTTAAAGAGCCAAGAATAAGATAAACCTGACTACTGTAGGGCATGGTTGGTACAGAAATAAAAACAAACACACGCACACAAAAAAAACCCAAAAAGGTAAATAAAATTATTTAAAAAAAAAAAAAAAAATAATATTGTGCACATTGATTAAAAACAAAAGGGTGGGTGTGAAAGTGTAATAGTCCCAAATTTATTTGCTCAGTATTTCATTCTTTTCAAATTATGTCTGTTGAAAGAAGGTACTTTTTTTTGTTTTCCTTTATTTTCATTAAAAAGAAAAATTGTGTCATGAAGTAAAAGACTTATTTCACTGTAATCTGAATTAGGCCACCATTTATTTATATATATATATATATATATATATATATATATATATATATATATATATATATATATATATTTCCTGGATACATTATTGGAAAATATCTTGGTAGTTACTAATTTGATTATAATTCTATGTTCCAATGTCTTTTGTACTAAACAATAGACCTTCATAATATCCAAATTTACAAATCAAATAGTACTTTTCATATATAGTTGTGTGTCCATAACTTTTAAAGAATTATTAGCTTATCCAACATTGTTCATATGCTTAATTCTCTTCAGATGTTGGATAAGGCTGAAAGTACCCAGTTCTATTTTGGAACTGTTCAAGGCATGGCTTTTTGACAGATACTTTACATGTAGATCCACCTTGTAAATTTGAAGCTGTATATTGTTGTCCAGTTTTGCCCAGCAGATTCGGTGCTCCTTGAAGCTATCCATTTGATTTAGTATTTATTTATACTTCTTGAACCAAATGATACAATATGGATAATTACACAACTGTTTCTTTTTCATCTGGCAATAATAGAACAAATGTTTATCTATACAGAAGCAAAGGATACATTATTTTCTGTATATTCTCTATTTTATCCACATGAAGAATCAAATTTCTATGCACAAACCCATCTGAGTGAAAAATGTACATTTTAATTTTTTAGAAAAGATTTTTTTTTAAGTCTAAAATTATAAGTGTTGCATTTTAATTATCTGATATTTTTTGTCTATTTCAGAGTGTGCAACATGAAAATTCCTACCGGGATCCTCAAGCAAAACACTGCTATGGAGAAAACCCACCAGATATCCAACCATTAATTCCCTAATATCCATCACATTTGGCAAATATACATGATTCATCAGACATTTCCCAACTTTCCTCCACTACAACTGTATGCAACAATGTGTATTTCATCTCATCTGCCATTTCATCTCAGGGCAAGCATCATCTATTTTACACTCACAAACACCTCTCCACATACATACACACACTTTGCTTTGGCAAAGTATGTCTATTATTTTCTTTCATTTGTACATAACCCTTTGGTAAGTTGGAGAGGAGACAGTCAGTGACCCACAGTAACATGCATATGTAAATATACACTCGCATTAATAAATTGGCCAGATAGGTTCACTATTGAAGTATATATTTATTCTTAATCATTTGTTTCATTGTTTTTTTTTTTTGTTTTATATTGCTTTGATGTATATTTAAGATTTGACTAAAATACTTATGGATTTAACAAGCAATAAAATTTTGTGGGGCCTTTTCTTTTATGGAAAATTCTCAGTTAGGAGAACTTTTCAGCACCCCCCTGTAAATTATATATTTGAAAAATATACAGGAATCCTCTGAATACAAAAATATTGGGTTGGCCCAAATTTTTATTCTGTTAGATGACATTAGAATCATGTGGTTTTTAACTTGATCCAAGAATATCATTTTTCATTTTATTGACAGGTATCATGTCAGCATGCATTTTAAAAAGGAAAAAAAAAAACTTTATCAAAAATAACATTTTTAGCATATACTTTTCTATTTTAAGAAAGCTAAATATGTAACTCAAATGAAGATTTATGCAGTTTATAACTGGACCTCTTCTGGTTTCCCTTACATCCTGGATTGCTACCTATAAATCTCACTCTCTCAGGTGATGTTCCCTGCACATCTTGTTACATTTAAGTTTTTGATCTAAGGAAGTCTTGAGTGAAGCTGGTTAAAAAGCAAAGGGAGTGAATTACAAGAAAATTAAAGAAAGCAACTTTCAGAATAGAAATGTATGGACTACTGGTTTATCTCCATTTGTCATTTTTCTAAGGGTAAGTAGGGATGAGTTCTTTGTTTCGCTCGATCCTAATAACTTAACCCTGCTAAGTCATGCATTCAAAGCCAGACAATTCAATCCTAATTCAATTTATTGTAATTAAATGCTTTACATTTCCCCATGAGCCCATTTGAAAATTGCAAACATCATATGTTTGGTATGCTAATGAAATCCAAAATTAGCTTGGCTTTCTCTCAGCTTTTTACATAAACCTCTTGAATTAATTCTCATTGCAATCAGCTACCAATTATAGATTCATTTACTTGTAAAATTTACACCAGTAACTCTGTTACAAGTTTGTAGAGAAGGTTGAAATTTAGTTACTTGTGCTAAAAAATTCACACTGGATGATATTCCATGCTGAAGTAGAGCAACACTTGATAGCAATGAAGACATTGGGGAAATTGCTAACATACACAAAATATCGAAATCTGGTGTGGAAAATTGTTTTCCTTAGCTGGATTCTCTTTTATATGTGGTTTCAAGATAAACAAAAAGTCTCATGAATTTTTTTTGTTTTGTTTTTTTCATGAAGGGCAATTAAAAAATGGATACTTTACAATAATAGGAAATGTAAGATCATCATGCAAGCAACATGAACATCCATGAAGAATTTGTTTTTCTTAGCAAAAAGCAAGTGAAATGATGTAACTAATTTTATTCATGTGTAGTTTTTTCTGTTTTATTCATGATACTTCAGTTATTTCCAATTTTGTATATTTCTTCTTTGGTGGAAAATTTATATATTCTGTGAATAAAAAGCTGGAACTTATAAAATGAGTTGACATCATAGATTTCTGTTTTGTTAATTAAAATAAAATTCTATTTCTAGTTTTAAAAAGTTGTCCTGGCCCTAGCTATAGCCACCCCCTACACACATGCATATGGGGTGTGTTAAAAGATTTTTAGCCTAACTCACTTCACAAAAACTGACCAAATGTTCAAACATTTTTTCTTGTCTTAATTGGGCCAAGAATTTTCAGCATTCTCTCATATACTTTAAGTATGTTTTAATTTTTGAAAAAATTCTTATACATTTAATTTTAAAATTTTTTTAACATTTTTCCATTTCTTTTTATTAAAGTGTTAAGAAATTAAAGACAATATTTTTAAAAAAAACCACAGAAATTAAGAAAAATAATTAAAAATCTCCAAATGTCAACTGAATTCATTACTCACTTATATGGACTGCATGTTGATGGAAAACTACATTCTGGACTGCATGTTTGGTTACAATCCTGTAATTTACAGACTTTACAACCCACAGTCTCATGGTTTCAGGTGAGAGCCTTTGTGTTTCCTTTACACAACAGTTATTTTTCTTTCCTATATGCTCTTTTTCAGTTTTGAAAGGCATTTTTATATATTTCAGATGAATGTATTATTTTTATTAGCAGATGTAATCTTCATCTTTCCTCAGGTATAATTTCCATTTGATTTTTTTTTTTTTTTTTTTTTTTTTGAACCTAGATGCAGTATACACCTGTAGAAAGTTGAAGAATGCATTAGCTAAAATGTTTTAAAATTTTTTTATATAGACAGTATTCTGAAATATACAGAATAACTGCATCTGTTTATACCCCCCCCCAAAAAAAAAAAGACAAACTGTTGAAAACTTAGATGAAAATGTGGATAAAGTAAATCCTTCTGATTCCTTTGAGTCAGCTTAACTTTTCCCCTCATTCTGCTTGGATCTTAATTTAAAAGATCTTCCTTCTTTTTCATTGATTTGAAAATAAATTTTTGTCTATTTAAGCATTGATGCTTTCATTAACTTTGATCTAAGAAAATAATATACCAAAAAAATGAAATAATACAAAATTATGATTATTTCTTTTCTTTTTCAGACATAGATGTAAAATAAATCTGACAGTAACTAAAATCAAATCTGTTACTGGTTGACTATCACAAACCCATTTTCACTGGGAAAGTGTCAGATGCTGGATTAATGATCTATGATTTAAGTAAATGTCTCTAAATCAGATTTTGTTATACACTCACATAGATTCTTACTGACTTATTAAACTTTTTTTTAAAGTTCAGAATGAAACCGTGATTCTCAACAAAGCCTTTGCAGATACTAGGTTGGAATATCTGGCCTATTTGGTATCAGTGTTGTGCAAAGGAAATGTAAGAAAGGCAATATACCTACCTAAATTTGGAGATACGTTTTTAAATTTTTCATGACCTTGTAAAATATGTTATTGGTGTGTATGATTTAAAAAAAAAAAAAAAAAAACAAGAATGATAAATCTACTGAAAAACTTGATAATGCTGAGATCTCCCACAGGGGAAAAAAAACCGTGATAGACTTCCTTAACAAAAGAAAAACATTGGACAATTCATTTTTTTTTTTTTCTAAAGCAGAAAACTTTAACTTTTCCTCTTTTTCTTGGTTAAGTTTTTATTTTAATGATATAATACTGTCTATTCCCAAAGGAAATTCCTTTACGTAAAGTGGAACATTTTTTCTTTTAGAAAATAAATGGCCTCCAAATATTTGGTACCATCTCAGAACTCGAATAAGTACAAGGCATGGGGAAAGGAAACAGAATTATGGGAAATGACTACAAATATTGAAACCCAAAAAAGAATATCTATTGTTTTTCTCACTTTGGGAGATAAATCTAGAGATAAATTTAAAGGATCAGAATGAAGAACATGGAATGGAACAACTTTATGATAAATTACTTTTTTTTTTTTTTTTTTTTTTTTTTTTTCTAAAGAAAATAGGAATCCATTTTTATTGTTTAAATCATAAAGCTATATTCAGGACATATTAATGGCTTGAGGTGTTACTTCTAATAATAAAGTTTGAGCAATTCAGATTAAAAATGGTAGGTGTTGGCTTCAATCAAAAAAAAAAAAAGCTTTGAAAACTAAAGCAGAATTTGAAGTAGCAGGTGAAGTATAATTCAGTTGTTGATCAAACACAGCTTTTCAGTGCTCTGAAGGGGTAGAAATTCAAGGAGAGCAATAACAAATATAAGTTTTAAACCCCTTACTGGAAAAATATCTAACCCACCAGGGCCTCCTGGTAGACCTGCCAGGTGTAATGTCTGTAGTTGCACTTTTCATCATTGGGCTGCAAACTGATTACATGCAAAGAAAAATTTCCAAGATATTTTAACCAGAATATGTGACATATAAAGGGAGTTAACCTTTTTAGTGTTAAAATCTGGAGTTTTGAACAATAGAACATCAGGAATTGTTTGTGGAAAATTGAGGGTTTTTTTTTTTTTCTACTTCAGCAGATAAGACAAATCTTAGAATGCAGGCAAGTAAAAAGTTAGAAATTTGGAAATGGAGAAATTGCCAACAGCTGCATATTTTTGCTGATATTAGAGCAGACATTGTGACTGATGTGGTTGAAGTGCTTAAAGCTTCTTTGAACAGCAAACACATGGAAAATAGACTTATAAAATTTCATTACAGAAGATTCTCTTTTTTTTTTTTTTTTTTTTATTAAATGTCAAATTGGTAAAATAATGCATTCTTTTTTTTTTTTTGTGAGATATATATAGGGAAGAAAGAGGATTAATGTGAGTAAAAGTTTGTCACTTAGCTGATTGATGTTACTTTCATTATCCAGACACACACATATATATATATATATATATATATATATATATAAGACACACACACACACACACACCTGATGACACTTATCAAAATTACTAGAATTTAACGTTTTTAAAAGGCCAGTAGAATTTTGTCAAAAACAAAAAAACCTAGATACAAATTTACTGTGGATGATCTTGCAATTAATAAATTAGTAAATTGTTTTCACTTTTAATTAAGTTTTTTTAAATAAAAATTGTTGAGCAACTAATGCATTTAATGTTTTGTAAAAGATACCTTTTGTATTCATATAAGCTTTTCTGAGTTCCTTATGGCAATTATCATGGATAAGAGTAAATTCCTTCATGTTTTAGCTTATTTTGTATTAAGTCTTATTGTTTTAAACGTACGTTTGACAAATTTATGCTGAGTTTAGATAAGTTACTTAATCTGATGAAGTCTTAAAAGATGAAATGCATTACATGAAATCTTTTTCCACTTTGTCATACTTGTTTCAACTAATAATATATAAATATATATATATATATATATATATATATAAATATATATATAAATAAAATGGCTCTTGATAGTTTTGTGTGCATATTTTAGAATGTGAAACAAAATAGCTGTGTAAATGTCTTTTTTTTTTTTTTTTTTTTTTTTTTTTTCTCTCTCTCCAAAAAAGATTTTGTAATTGAAATTTATGGATTTATATAGAAAATTTTCTCCCCATGCTTTATGAGCAGTTTTGGGCTAATTAATGCTTTTATTAATAAAGACGTGACATTAAAACTTCAACAGCAACTGCAGTAAAAAGTGAGGCCTTTGTGTGTAGTCAAGCATGACAAGTTGAAGCAGTAGTAAATAACCTCATTCCAGAAATTCGGACAAATAACCATACATCCATTTATCATGTTATTCTTACACACCTAATACTGCACACACACTCTTATTCATAAGCACGCACATTCTAATAATGTATTCACTCAAGTTAAACTATGTAAGATATACTTTAATTTCTTTAGTGTTTTTATAATTTTAATTTTTTTTTTTGTTATTTTACCTATTTGTTATTCAAAGTTATATACACTTTGATAGAGAACCTAGTTTTATGCCAGATGAGTTAAGATTTTTTTCAAGGGAAAGGAACATCTACTGCGCACAACCCATGGAAAATGGTCAAGTGGAGAGGCTGAATAGAACTCTGTGAAGGACAATCAACTTAGCCTTAAAATTGTGAGGTTTACTTGTGTATCAATGGGAAACTACTAACACTCTCCACTCAATTCATTCCTTACTGTGTACAGTGACAAATTGTACTTGTGAATGGATGTTTTCTTATCCGAGAAAATCTACCTCTGGAAAATTTTTTTCCTTTGTAGTTGACAATTCCTGGAAAAATTCTAGTGAGAAACTACGTTCAGAACAATAAGTAGAAGCCTACTGTATGAGAAGTTGAGCTGATTCAGACAAATCTTTATTATGCTCTTGTTAGATTATCAAATGGAAAAGAAAGTATTGGTTCTCTTCATCACCTCATTCCAGCTAGGGATGGAATGATAATCACTAAACTTAATCAATTACAATATTTTTAAATAATGTTACTGTTTTTTTTGTTTTTTTTTTTCCTTCTTTTCCTCTTCCTATAATAAAAAAAAAAAAATGGAGAATGTGGTTGTTCTTTTTAGACTGCACAAGATATTTATAAAAGTTTATGGTTCTGTTATAACTCACTCCTAGCAATTATAATATGCTGTGCTTAGGCTCCTCTCTGTGACATCAATTCTTTCTTTTCAACTGACTCCAACAGACTGGTATTTACCAACATTCTCACAAGACCGATTGTATTTTGGGTCAACTTCAAGTTTTTCTGGACATTTACTTTTTCTGTTAATCATATTTTATATTCAATGAATTCTTAGTGTTGGTATATCAAAAATATCATACAGTACTGGCATAGGTTCTTCCTTTTTTGCAGGCCTTTCTTCAGTAAACCTTTTCTTTAACTGATTCTGATGCCTTTTTTGTTCCCATTTTTTTTTCCTTTTACCATTTTTATATATAATATATAATGATCATTTTTCCAATTCATGACCTTGTTATGCTGTCTTCCCACATTTCTTTTCCATTTTTACATACTCTGAAAAAAACTTTCACCAATTTTGAAAAATTTTATGTCCTTTTTGTTATCTGTTTTAATTTTTTTTTTTGATCTGGTAACAACTTCTTGGACACAAATTTAATTTTTCTTGCAAAATATCAATTCTGCCGGTGACATGTCTGTCAGCATTTTGGGATTCAGCATTATCCAGTATATACTCTCAAGAATTTTTACAGTGCTTCTTTGTTCACTTTTTCATTACTTGCTTTTTTCAAAGCTGTCTTAAAAGTACCCAGAAGCTTTTCAGCTTGTCTGTTTGACCTTTGTCAATACGGCAGGGTAGTAATATGTTTGAGAACATTTTACAAAAATCTTTAAATTTGTAAGCAGTGAATTGTGTACCATTATCTGAGACTATCATCCGGAATGCCACATCTTGCAAACAGTTCATGCGAAAAATTCACTGTAGCCATGGAAGTTATTTTGCAATTACAAATTTCAGGCCACTGAGTAAAGCTATCCACTAACACAAGATAATGTGACCCATTTATTTTTTACTACAGAATATGTCTTTGACCACTGTTGTATTCCATCAAGCATTCAAGTCTGGATTGAA